ATTTGTTTACATGAAGAAGATAAAATAGACGAAGCTGAACAACAATTTAAGTTCGTTCTTAATCAAATGCAAAATAATATTCCTGCATTATTTTGTCGAGCTTCTATTGCATTTAATAAAAGAAAGATTATCGACAAGCATTAAATTTATTTAAACGTGCTTTAAAATATACAACAGAAAATTCCACCAATACTCGTGTTGATTTAGCCAATGCATTTGCTAAATTAAATAAACTTGAAAAGACTGAGTAAGAGAGAATTCAATTAAAAAATTTTTATTTATTTTCTTTTGTAAAGATTAGCATTTAATCGTCCAATTGAAATTGATTCAAAATATGTCGGAGCATTAGTTGGTTTAGCTATACTTGAATTAAATATGAAAATACTAGAATCAATTCGTAATGGTGTAATGAAACTTTCTCGAGTCTATCAATATGATTCACAAAATCCAATGGTTTTAAATTATTCACATGATATTGTTTAAGATTAGTAAGTTTTCAATTTAAACCAATGTCGTACAAATCAAATTTGATGTGTATTGAAAATATCCTCTATAAAAGTTTTTTAGTTAGATACAAGAATATTGAGTTAATTGATTTTTATGTTTACAGTAGAGTAGTAATTGTTGTTGTGTTGAACACGATGAAGTTTAATCCAAATGCATGAAATTTATTATTCTTGTAGATTTGAAAAAACTTTAAATCATTAAAATGGCAAATACGAACTCAAATATATTTATTGAAATGGCTAAATCATCACAAACACGATTAGGTCGAACAGATTTTATTTATCCATTAAATTGTGGTTTTAAAGTATTTGGATTCAATACAAATACAAATGAATATGTCGTATCATATGAACGTAGAATTACCGTACAAGCAGCAGGTGCACTTAATGATGGACTTAAGCTTCATCTAAGTGAATTACCTCGACGACAACGGCCTTATCGTCTTGAAGCAACAGCTACAGATGGTAAAAACGTGTTATTTAAATCAATCACATCCATTACGCTTAATTTGAATGGAACAGTTCGTGCAATCAATGAACGTCATTTAAATACAATTCTATTAGAGATTGATAATAAACAATGATATTCTTGCATAGAAAAATAAACAGTTGATTTTTTTCTTATGTTTTTAAACAAAATAAAATTTTGAATAGATTTTCATTTATTTTCAGTTATATTATTTTGAATAATAATTGAAGAAGAAGATATATATACATTTATAAAATAAAAGAGAAGTAAATTCTGCTAATACATATATTGAATAATAGTAGATGTTAGTGTTTTCTGTTTTTTTTTCTTTTATTGAAATTAATTTATTGAGAATGAAAGAGTGAAATATCAA